TCCTAATAGCTATGATTTAGGAATTAAGGAAGATTGAGAATAAATCTATAATCTTAATAATTGATGTTTCGTTCTTGGAAGATAGGATCTATGATGATAATTAGGAGAGTCACTTAATCGTCTCCTAAAATTTTTTTATTATAATTAGATTTCAACATCATCATTATTAATTTCAACAAACTTCGTCAGGAAGCACCCTATGCCTTTGCATTATTGCTCCAAAGTCGTCAAGTGAAGATTCCTTTGTTTTCCCTTTTACTTTTGTTTACATTTTCTTCGTTACACTGCAGATTTCACGAATTCGAGTAAGCCAAACTATTATCATCATCAATAAAGCCACTGCACGTGATAGACTCCGTAACATACGCAAAAGCAATAGCAGATTGCTGATCGCTGTGCCGTAACGGTGCAGTGGAACGAGGATTCCGTTGATTCAAAGTACCCACGGTTTACACTAACCCTCGCAATAACAGATCTTCGACCCTCTGTGGAGTGAGGGCTAATTTTTCTTACACTATTTGGTGCAGCAGTGTTGGGTGATTCGCAACAAGAGAACTAATCGGGCTACTGAATTGGATGTGACGTTGGACTCGCGTGATAGTCTTGCGGGTCGTAAACCCGACCCGGCCCGCGAGTCTCATTTGGGCGATCGATCGTGTCATTCGTTCGGCGTCGCCTCCTAAAATGCCCGGATCGAACGCCTAGCCTAGGGTTTCCCCTCCTCCCCCTCCCCCACTGCCGATGGACGATGCCCGGTTCCCTCCCCATCGTCGGTCCAAGGCCCCCTTCCGCGACCTCCCGCCTCGATCCCCGTTTGGTCGTCGCTACGCCGACGATGACGAGGACGAAGAAGGAGAAGAAGAGGAGGACAACGAGGAGGAGCATAACGACATGCATCAGCCCATGGACGACGACTACGATGACGACTCCTCATCCGAGAGCCGTGGCAAGCGGAAGAGGATCGATGAACTCGCCCTGGGGTTCGAATTCGCCCCGCGTGTAAACCCCGAGGCCTCCGCTCCATCCTCCAAGCCTGCTGCCCGGACCTCGACCTTCGACCTCCTGGATCCGTGGGGCGATCGCTTCGCTCAGAACGGTCGGAGGAGCTTCCGAGCGGATGAGGGCAGCGATATCGCCAAGAAAGTCTCGCTGGCCTCTAAGGCTAATCGAACCAACGCTTATCGTGGGAATCGGTTTGAGAAGTACAAGAAGGAGAAGCCGAGCACGGGGGAGGATGGGAATGTTGGAAGCAAATGGGTTTATTTTAAGAAGATGGACGCTTTGATGTCATCCCCGTCACCGCTGCCAGGACGGCAGCAGCCACATCTCTTTTCTAGTTCCAGCGTCTATCAGAATCGTTGTAGTGGCAATCATGAGAAGAGAGACGGTCTAGGGAACACCAGATATGACGGTGACTGTGATGATGAGGATGTCGACTCTGATGGGCTCCCACCAAAGAGGATGAATGTCTTGAGGTGCTCGGATTCTTCTTTTAGGATGCTTGCTGAGTCAATTCAGAAGTTTGGAGACATCTATGAGAAGATGGAGATTCATCAGAGGCAGCAGATGGCAGAGCTGGAAAGGATGAGGAAGGAGTTCCAAAGGGATTTGGAGGTGCAGAAAAGGCAGATTTTGGAGAAGGCACAAGAGGAGATTGCAAAATTGACAGAGGAGGGTAGGGGAGATGATGAAGAGGATAGGGAAGATAAGGAGGAAGACAGTGATGATGGTGATTCTGCTGATAATCTTAGCGGGTAGGTTAATGGTGACCTTGTTGACTTTGTTTTCCATTATTGATTGTCTCTACATAATTATATATTTTTTGTCAATATTTTATAGTTGTCACTCTTATTTTGTCAAAATGAAAAAAAATGAAGTAGTTCATTGGAAATATTAAAATGTGCATGTCACATTAGATTCCATTAGTGTTGGCTACTGTTTGTGGCTTATGTTTACAGATGGCTCTTTAGGTTTTAGTGAAGTGGGGAGTTACGTTACTGACTGGGATAGTAAAATGGAATGAGGACTCTGACATGCTGAAGAAATTTGTTATTTTGAGAGATGATATATTAAAGTTTAATTGATGTCATGGTTGTTATTTTTTCACTTGTTACTATGTCAGTTAGGCTTTATTAAAAATATACTAGGCTATCATCTAGGTAATATCTTTAATCGAGTTAATTTTAGTATTGTTAGTAGCAGCATTATGATTGACACTTCTCGAAGCATCTTTTAAATTTATATCATTGTCATAAAGCTTTTTAGGATGTTGGTAGACTTATCATATCTGGAAGATGTTTGTGTATTATGAAATTGGGTTGTTTTGGATCTGGGGTTTTATAATGAAAGGATGTAGGTTAGCTTTCAATGAAATTGGGTTGCTTTGGATCTGGGACTTTTATAATGAAAGGATGTAGGTTAGCTTTCAAAGTATAGAAGTCTTGAGAGGAAAGTACAAGATTTCTGCCTTAGAAATGAGTACAAGTCCCTGACTCAATAGTCAATACTGAAAGAACTCACCTGTGGAAGTGCTTGTGCCGCATTGGACTCCCAACTTGAACTTGACATCTGTTAAATTAATTGATTTTAGACATGCTTATGTACTTGTTCAAGTATTTGGGATAAGATACAAGCCCGCAACATTGTGGGTGAATCCCCTGAAAAAGTTTGTGGAGAATGGCAGTAACTCGTGCACTTTAAAAAAATAAATAAATAAAGTCCTATACTTTCTCAAGCCAGAGGACATATCCCTTTGGGGGTGTATCAAGTGGTCCATGCTAGTTGTGTTAATATGCAGTTGAGGAATTCTTATTGTTTGGTCATATCTTAGATTGTCACACTGTAGAATTTGCCTTTGCCTACATATCGTTGAATCTTTTCACTATAGGTCCCAAGCCTGAAAAAAGAGTGGTGCATTAGGTACTTGATAGTCAGCATAAGATCCCTTCGAATGTTTTGAGGATGGACTTTAATATTTTTGTATAGGACCAGGTCACTCTTAGCTTGTAAAAAAATCCATGGAGTTGTCCCCAGTTGGTTCAGATATTTCAGCTTCTTGTTATTGTTGTAGTCTTTGGAGCTCGAAAGAACTACTGATTGATGAAGACAACCTAGAATCGCCTACTTGGATTGGTTTGGAATCATAGGAGAGTTCTATTCTTTTGATGCTACAGTATCTCCGAGTATTGTTTCACATGACTATTAGCAATTTCGTGCATTTTGTGGCCTCTGGCTGTTGTGTCTTGATTTAAAAGTTATTAAGTTGATGGCTTTTACTTGAGAATATGAGTTGGGTATTAGATTATGTGCTCCCTAATCATGCCCGCTGCGGCCTCTGGGAGCTGAAAGTTTGCTTTCCCTCGAGACTACTGCTATCGATGCTAGAGGGCTTTTAATTAAAGCTTCTGGGGCTGGAGAGAGGCCTCTTGTAGAACTCCACTAGCACTCCTTTGGATTGTTGTCTTGAACTGATTTAACCAGCTAGTTGATAAAAGCTGTGCAGTAATGTGCTTTTTGTTAATTTTTTTTTGTGCTGTATCAGGTATTAAAATTTGTTGCTTTTCTTGTTCTGTAGGTTCGTATCTGCTTCATTCTTCCTGACGGCCTTTGTCTGACAAAGAGAGAGTGATTCCCGAGTATCCATTGGCTGCTTTGGATTGCTTCTGCGCACCCACTTCCACGTGCTGTTCTAAATAACAAATTCTGTACTGCAGTTACATGGACACTTGATGTGGTTGGGGGGCCGAGGAAGCAGCTTTGTATCTCCACTATGTTTGAATAGCTAGCTCATTGGCATCCCCTATTTAACTCCCCATTTTACCCAAACGTTTAGATTCTAGAGTTTCATGACAAGATGTGTATTTGCATGATTAGTCTCGAAGTTGGTCATTTGTTTGTATTGGTTTCTTCTGATGGTTGACATAACAAAGTATTTTTGTTTGTCCAGGGTCTGGATTTAGACGCATGGGGGCCTGTGTCGCAACTCGGATTTCTCGTTTTCGGCCCATACACTGCCTTCGACTGCTACTTTGTTTGGTGGGTGTGACATGCCATTGGTGTGTGTCTCTTCATCAATCAGTTTATCTAAACTAAAGTAGAGAAAAAAAAAAAAAATAATAATAATAATACTTTTTATCAAAGAGGTTGGTTATGCTTTATGCCATGAACTGGCCGCTAACGAAGAGCTTAGGAAGCTTTATCTTTGTGATTGCACCTCTTACAGGAATGCTAAACGAGACTGCAACAATCAACGAGTGCAGCCTCGTTTAAAATATGAACTGATGCCTATCGAGTGTCGAGAAAACGCTGTACGTAGGATGCTCCATGCCTGAAGTTTATTCGGTAAAATTACACCAAGTATTCTCACGGAGAACCAACCTTAATCCCCACCGAGTAAGTAATGTTACAGCATTAAAAACAAGATACGATCGCAGGACGACTTTCCGACCGGTTGTCAATGGACGAGATAGGTAAGAAGGAGAGCCACAGCCATAAGCACATACGCTACCCCTTGATCTACAGCCTTTGCTACATGCATCCAAAGAAACACATCTATTATTAGCTCCTAACCTCACAATTCAACAACTCGCAAGTACAAGTACTGGATTACATACCATCGTCGCTGATCCTCTGAGCATCGGCAATCGTCGTCGCTTCTCCACACAGACATGGGCGCAAGACAACCATCGATGACGTAAAGTACACGAGAAGAAGAATCGGCAGTCCCGCTGAACTCATTATGAACATGGTTTGGCGGGAGACGAGAGAAACTCCAACTAGCTGCAAGGTGATGGATGAGCAACAAGCCCAACTCTTCTGCTTATAGTCGGCTGAGAAAAGAGAAGACGTAAATCAAGTCAGAATCGACGTAGTTGGCAGGTGAAGCCATTGACATCGGAACGAGAGTGTGAGCTATTGTCAACAGAAGAAGCCGGAAGTGACGTGTGGATCGAGATTGGAGCATGAGGGGGGTCCTCCCCGTTTAAACTGCAGCGTCTGACGAGAGAGAGAGAGAGAGAAAGTGAGAGTCGAGCGTCTTGGAGGCCCGGTGAGTTTGTTGCAGTCCATTTAATGTGAGGCTTGGGAGTCCAAGAGGTGGCAAGCTTGACCGCGTCAAGCAGTGATGTTGCGATTAATGAGCCGGTAGCGCCACGCGGTGGTGGACGGGCGGAGTCGGAGCTATACGCGTGTTCTGTGGTTCACATGCAACGGCCGAGTTGAAAGCCCCAACTGGTGTTGGGATTCCAAAAGGGTCGTTTCATGTTCAGTCAGTCATCATAATGACAAGCCGCGAGATCGTACTGTTGCCGACCGACAGTATTGGCTGGCGATGGCCACCAACGCGTTCTCACAGAAGAACAACGTTCCCTCCCAACTGTCCTCGATCAACTTTGACACTGCTGTCTGAACTCTGAAGAAACATGACGGTCGCTCAGAGAAGTTCACAACACTATCCCAAGAAAACATAGTGATTGCACATAAACATGTCTCCGTGTCATCTTCGGTTAATCGGTGGTGACGTGAGATGACACTTCGACGAAATTCATTGCATCAAGTAGCGATACAAAGTCACTTTTTCGCACCGAAAGAGAAGTAGATGAACTAATAATGGTAAAGTAGTCAATCTCTAAATAGTAAGTAGAAAGAAAAAAGCAGCCCGAAGCTCGATGCGATTCTTTGACAAACCACCATCTCTGGTTCTGCTTCCTCGTTATAGAAGCCTCAAGTTCCGGTTAAATCGCCCAGCATAGCCCCTCTTAACCTCCTCTGTATACATGGAAGGAGTATGACTAACACGCTACAGTGCCTCAGCAGATGCCTGCATTCTAAGCATGATGATCTACGTATAAAGCCAGTTATCAGCATTAGCAGGGCGGTTGGCATATGATTCCATGCTCACATGAAGCTGTTCTTGGAGTCTTTAACTCCAAAGACGAAGGATGTCTATTACCACAGAGGGCATTCTACATTCGATTGAGCCTTTTGCTTTAAATTTAGATTTTTGACAAATTAGTCATGCATCTATTTTTACCAAAACGCCTGCTAAACGTGATTTAAACTCGATCTAGTTTTTCAAGCCTGAAACAGAATGCAAAAAAATTAACAAAGCAACGTTCAGTTACTCGACATTTCACGTAACTTACATCAATGGTTTACTTATATGCTTCAATGTATTAATATAGGCGGAGTAAAAAAGAAAATGTAAGAGTTTGGACAAGTACCTGAAAGAATATGATGAATGGCAGAGTTTCAGGAAGAGCCTCCTATATACTTCCTTTGAGAGAAGACTCTTAATGCATCATAACTGCAAATATCTCAAGGAACACAGAAAAGTTTCACTTGATCCTTTCAAAGATTAAAGTTAATGACCCAAAAACCACTGATCTCCTTATGACTCATATGATATAGGAAACTGTTAACTCGCTTTGAGGTAATAACTCTATTGTTATCTCTTGAACTACTTATTTGTCCAAACTGCTGAGAAACCCATCTCTGATTCCTCCGTTCAACCTTTGATATCGCTAGAACTGCTTTAAATGCTTTGTTATCCAAGCTGCTGAGAGACCCACCTCTGATTCCTCAGTTCAATCTTTGAGTGCAGACGCGAACCCTCAGGAATTCCTAATGGTGGATTATTGCATGAACAGTTATCAACTCTATATAGCTCCCAGTCCATGATACTGCATTTCTCCAAGGCAGATACTAGCCTTTGTCCTCCCAATTCAGGTTTAAAATTTCCGTCTGGACTAACAAGCACAGCCCCAGTATACGACAGTCCAGCCACCTGAGCTGCCCCGTTATACTGAAATAAACCCCAGCTGAGATCGTCACAAACATCTATTATTGTCCAAAATTCTTTAGAAACTACCCCATTATCTAATACGCTGAAATAAAATGTTCCAGGAACACTTGCTCTTCTAACCCGATACTTTCTTCGTCTCCATACCAATGTCCCTTCTTGAGTTCGGACCTGAAACACTGGTTCATACCAAAATGACCCTTTAGCCTTTCCCCTGTAAAACAATTGATACTGACAAGGGAATTGGTCATATGCAGGATTTTGGCCGGCTATGACTCGCCAGCTCCATTCTAAATTATCCAACCAACCGATGAAAAGGTCTTCCGCAACTTCATGGCTCAACAACTCTCCTCTAAACATATACAATGGAGTTACAATTGGCTTGCTTGGGATCTCTGCATCTAACTCAAGACAATTGTTCTTTTGCAACACACACAAAGAAAATGCCTCCAGGTATGGGCTCTCATAAGAGGCAATGCAGCGGTAGTTACAAACCTGATCTGTTGGAGAACAGGAGTTCAAACACTGAAGAGCTTTTCTACAGTTGGGATCAAATAAACAGTTTAGCATCTGAGATCCGCAATTTTTAATCATACAATTAAGAGTGGATAGTCCTTTAGCCCTTAAATTTTTTAGTACAGAAACAGGTCTTATGTAAGAATTGATGATAACAAGCAAACAGAACCTAATATCATCAGCATTATACCTCTCCCAAGCACCCGATACAGTCTTAAGCACTTCTGCTGATTCACTTCTATTTCCTTTTTTTGCAATGTTGACCAGTCTGTTGAACATGTTTTCTTCTCCTCTTTTGTGAACGAATGATCCTCCAAGTTTGTTTCTTAGATCTGGTGATGATTCAAAGCATATTATATTTGGAACACTATCACTATTTTTGTGAAGCCATTCAATGGATTCCTGATCATTTATTGCGACATGAACCAACATATCAGAACATAGCAGTTCCCTCACAAGATTTTCATGCCGAGTATCACTATACTGAGTTGCCTTATCACTAAATACAACCATTTCAATTCCTTCATCCACCCACTTTAGACGAGTTGACTACAAGAAGACCCAACAGAAAAAAGACAATCAGTAGGCCACCTAGTTGCTTTAAGAATTATATTAAGTTCCACTAAGTAAAAAGGCAATTATCATGTCGGATGCCTCATTATTTCCAATAATACTACAACCAATACATGCCTTTTACAGTTGAAATCGTTGAAAACTATATGCATCAAAATATTTTTTGCAATAAGTGCAAGATAGACAACTAATCTTGAGTACATATTTGATGACAATAAGTGCAAGATAGACAACTCATCAAACTTTTCTTTTTTCATGATAAATATATAACTGAAATGGATCAATCTTTGTTAAGGTATTCACCATTTAGCGAGTGTTATTTGGTTGAATTTTGAACTCTGCCTACAATATAAAATATGTTGAACATAGATTTTATTGCTGGCAAGGGACTAGCTCAGCAGAGTTTTTACTAATCGATGTTTTTATATTACATCTGCTGGTTTAGTAATTGACTTTTTTTATGCAAACTAGAATGCTCAAGGATCAAAATGTATAGAAAAGATATATCAGGTCCGAATGGGCTGCTTGGGAAGACATTAACATGGAATTAGATAATACATAGATTGGTGGCATTATTTTCTAGCAGTCAACTGAAATAGTCAACAGTAGAGGAAAGAATACAGAAAGTCTTTTGATTTTATTCTCATGGAACAAAAGTCAAGATAATAGGTAGAAAGAAAAAAGAGAGATAGGATAAGATTTTATGACACTCGCACACAATCTTATTTGCTCAAATTCACCTTTATCTTTTGGTGAACTACAGCATTTCTTCACCCAACTAAAACACCTTAGTATGACACAAGCAACAGTTGACAGTCTCATCAATTGAACTCCTATCCGAAATTAAAAATGGATTATGATGCAACATTTTGTAGACCTTTTTACCGACAAATAAGCATTGCCATGAAATTTTCTATTTAAGTACCTTGATGACAGTACTAAAACATAATTCTACTATTAACTCAACCCTGACTTTGGTCTCACCTAATCAGACCTGACTACATTAACTCATTCCTTGTATTGATAACATTCTCAATATCTTCAAGATAGACAATTGTCGAGCAAGAATTTGTGACTATATATTCTAAAAACATGGTAAAAAGCCAATCCCTAAGCCTTGCCCATCGACATTGAAGTCAATCAGTTCAGTTGTGTTTGTGCTTTCATTACATAAATCCATTCTAGGTTGACATCAGTCACAAGTTCATGTCAGGTTTTTGCCAGGTTGGTAGTGAATCCAAAATCTGTATCAGAAAAGGTTCAATCAAGGAGATTAAATAGAATCTTATCCAGATTTACTTTCCTCTCCCTGACATGTAAAAGGGATTGTTAGGCTAGAAAAAAAAAAGAAGAAAAGAAAAAAGACTTTCCTTCCTTGGCTGTTCATTCTATTCAACTATTACTACTCTTCACTACTCCTGGGAGGGTTCAATCACTCAGAAGATGAATTTATGCGTTCTATTTGATCCATCCCCTACTGATTATTTAGTAAACCACCTCATCAGTGCAATCTTAATCGCTCATCTAACAATTATTAAACAAAAAATGAAATTTGTTTTCTCATCATATTAGAATCATGTATCTGATGAACTAATTGTAGACATTCAACAATTATAACGAGTTCCAATCATATATCACATCTCAACTAGATCTAACAGCCAATACATGAAGTACCGCCTGAAATTGCAGAAGGAAACGTAGCCAGAGTACATCTTGATTTTGAATTTGTATTTAGATGGTGGTGCGCCACCTGTAACTGTATGTTCCCCGTTGTTATCTTAGGCCACAATCTGCATCATCCTCTTAGCAAGAGGTATATCAGCACAACAGGCAACTTTTCTCAATTGGTAATGCTAATTTGTGCCAGTCGGGACATACACCCACCTCCACTTTTTCGTTTCTTCTTTTTCGGTTGTAGAAGGGAGGGTTGATAATCCCATCATTTTTCTTAATGAAGAGACATGCCAATATCTTCAAAATAGAGTTTGTGTCTTAATCGGCTGAACGGAGTAAATCGATGGAATGATTATAAATAAATCCACGGATAAACAAGATTTAGCACGGAAAGGGCATCGAATCACTCACAGTATGACGCATGACCTGCTCCCAGGGAGTGTTCTTCAACGGGCTAACGCTTCCGTCCCCAACCACCGTAACGATCCTCGCCGTTGCCGCCGTTCTTCCCTCCTCCACCATTAGGGCTCGCGCCGGCTTCGGACGTCGATCCCATACGGCGGTCGCACGGCAGCAAGCGAACTTAAGACCGAAGAGAGCAGCTTCGCGAGCGCCCGACAGCCGTGTTGCAGCGGCTGCGACACAGTTGCTTCGAGGAGCTTGGAGTCGTCGAAGACTTAGAATAGGAGTAATCGTGGCTAAAGGCAAGGCCATTCTTCTCCCTCTCGCTCGGTGGCCGAGACAAAAGGAAGCAGCTGGGATGGGGATCCGCAATGGAGTCGCGAAGGGAAGGGATTTTTTAGGACACGTGACGCAGCCCCGCGACACGACGGCCTTTGCTATTTAACATGACTGCCGTGCCCGCGTTACATTTGTTTGGTTCACCTGTTTGCATTACAGCCATGCTTTTATAACAAAAATTAAAATGGCATGTAATAAGTCATGCCACTATTTTAACCATAAATCACACCAATAAATTATTGTCTTGCTCGTGGTTTCTGCAATGTCAACTTTCTTTTTTTGCTTTCAGGTAATTTTCGATAATGTAATTATTGGCATCATCATCTTTCAGCTAAATAAAATTGAGCTTTATGTTTTAACTGACATTGATTTATGTATTAAATTATTATGTGAAACAATATGATTGATGAATCCTTCGTACTTTAGTCAGCTTGACGTGGTTTAGACTCGTGTAGGGTTATCAGATGTGCCTCCGATGTGTAAATATCAAACTCTCAATGTGTCATTTACACAAAGACTGAGGTCAGGTGAGGTATCCAGACTCGATTCCTCTGATGCCAAGTTAATAATTAGATATGTACAAGTACAAATATGAATGATAAAAAAAATAAACCTTTTTTCATCATGTTAAAAATAAGTTTTTATACTTAGTCGTAGAGGGATAGAATATTCTATGAAATATTCTACTAGGAGATAGCCTCTAACCACCTTCAACGTCCTTTCTTTGGCCTCTTGTTCACGTGGGCAAAAAGGTGGGGTAGCCCACAATTGTCTATCTTGGACCTTTGCTCACATGGGTAGATGAGTAGAGGGCGACCTTCGCCTTCTTCTTTTACCCTAGACACAATGTGACGGTTGCATATCGGATAACGATTAGTTGACAACGTACTCCCTATCATTTGAGCCCCTCGAGGCATGTTTTGGGGTTTTTACCAAAGCGGTCCGAAGTGTAGCGTCTAGTTCATCCGGCATGTCGAGATCATACGTCTTCGATCAATTGTAAGCCTAGTGGCATGTTTAATTCGTCTTGCACATCTAGTTCATCATGCATCTTATATCATCTAATATGAGTTTATCTAACATGTCTGCCCAGGATCACTTCCTCAATGCTGTTGATGGTGATTTGTTATTGACCTACTTCTCGTATCGTTGAAGGACATGTATTAGTCGGACGAGATTAAGTTTTTTGACCTCCACGCTTTGAGCAGAGGCGGAAGTCAAACTTCCCAATCTTCACGCTTCAATGAAGGTATGGTTGAGTTTTCTGACCTCCATACCTCGAGCGAAGACGGTGGTTCGAGTCATCCGCCTAGGTGACAAAGATTCAAGATAGGTGATTATAGGTTGCTCCCCCGTGTTGTCCATGCGAATTAGAGGCCAATTAGGGAGGGACAAATGATAGTGAGTATGTCATCGGCTAATTGTCATCCGACATGCAATCATCACGTGGTACCCAGGGTGGAAGAATAAAACGAAGGTCACTCTCTACCCACTTGCCCATATGGGCAAGGGTCTAAGGTAGATGGCTATAGATTGCCCCTCCCTTAGCGCTCACGTGAACAAGAGATCAAAGAGAGGCTATTGGAGACGGTTAGTGGTTGCCTCAATGCAGAATATTTAGCTCTTTTACCATCAAGTATAAAAGCCTATCTCCAACATAATGAAAAGAGAGGCATATATTTTTTTACTATTCACGTCCATACTTATATATCTCTAATTACTAATTTGGGCATTAGAGGAATTGGGTCAGAAAATCACTTTCGACCTCAATCTTCATGTAGGTGGCATCTCAGGTGCTCGATGTTTTCACTTCCGAAACATCTTGAATCATTCTACATAAACATCTCGAATCATGCTCGATGTTAAACTAATTAAGACATCAATGATTTCTTCTCATATCAATGATCATTGATTATGATCTCATGAAAGCTTAAGTTCAACCAAACAACCTTGATATATACAAAATATAGCAAATTTGAAAGCGAAAGATATATGCTAACTATTTCACAGCCGATGACCCTATAAGCAATTAGCGTTTTGCACAACAACATCCGATCCGACTTCCACCGGACGTGTTTTCTTGCTAATCTGCACATCCTATCGGGTCGGATCCCTTTCCGACGCTATCCAGCTGTCACCGGAAGCGGTGCCATCGCCCGCAAATTCCAACAGGAAGCGGCCGCTTATTAGGTCCTGGCAGAAAGATCGCTGGCGTCGAGCCCCGCGACTCTCACTTCATTCCCCTCACCCGGTTCTTTGAAGACCGTTCTACGCTTCTGTCAATCGCTGCACCGGGATTCCGTTCCAGAGGTTAGAACCTTTCTCCCTCTCTCTTCCGCCGTCTATTCTCCCTCTTTTACGTCTCCGTCTCGTCTTCTTGCTCTTGCATATCTTCTCTCCTTTCATAAACTGTGTCACCCTTTTCCCTCTTTCCGCTTGCCGTTCCCAATCTGCCATCTCTTCCCTCACTCTCTTCCTTCTGGTTCCTATTTCTTGGTTGGGATGTGGGGGGTTTCGCGAGGCTACAGCCGGGAGACGACGGCCATGATCGGCTCAAGGTCGGTTGGAAGGACCTTCCGGGTCGGATCGAGAATGGCTCCACCCGAGAAGAATATCGGATCCGTTTTTACCTCATTACATCAGATCCTAGCGGGCCCCTCCCTAAACGGGTAAGCGACGCTCCCTCGCTCCAAGTCCTGATCCTATCCGTCCGATGACGCGTCCACAGTAGCTGTGAGGTCGAGGAGGGTTAGTTACCAGTCAGCACTTCATCGCCTACGATGGGCATCTCTAGAAATCGAGGCCCTTCTCGACTCTTCTCGTCGCTTCACGGCTCTCTGGCAAATCAGAAATCGAGGCCCTTCTCGACTCTTCTCGTCGCTTCACGGCTCTCTGGCAAATCGCATGTCTTTCCTCATTCGTTCCGTTTTCCACTACCGTGCATCCCAGCCGTTTCCATCTTTCCACACCCGTCGCCAGCGTTGTGGCTGCCGTTTCTCGATCGGCCCGCCTCCGGCCTCGGGACGCTTGGCGTCGTGGCATTGTTTACCGACAGGCGGATTGTCTCTGGCGCCTTAGCCGCAGGCTTTGCGAGTACGTGGGGCGTTATTTGTCTGCGTTGGTGGCGGTGAGTTGCTGAATCATTACAGTGGCTTGGATCGTTCCATTTGATGCCTTTTTTTGCACGGAATCCTGGACCCTACTCCTCGTCTTCAAATCTTTGCATATTTTGTCTGTTTTAGGATCTTGGTGATTGTTTCTTGGTAGTCTTCTTTTTCTTGGCTAAATCATTACAGTGGCTTGTCCTCTTTTTCTCCATTGCCATTCTTTCTTCGTAAGTAAAATTGTCGCCTTTAGCAATGTTGTGAGTCCGAAAGACTAATTGAAAAGATGAACTTGACATTACTGTAAGAACCATGAAGACGCAGCAATTGTGCCCAACCAGCTAGATGCTTAGTCTTTGGTAGATCATGTGCATTTTGATGCTATTTTTCGCTGGATTACGACATCGACTAAATGGCTCCGTCTCTCCAGGGTAAATTTGCGAGCAGAATTATCATGTTGGATGGCCTTCAGGTGAGCATGAAAACACTATCGATTTTTACCCCCGTTACCCCGCCCCACCTTTTTTTAATCTAATTTTGAAGTCGAGATTTTGAGTAAAAGCCCCCGAGAATATAAATTAAGCCTACAATGTAGAAGTCTCCGCGTTGGAACTTAAGACGGCTAGTTCCACAATATAAATTAAAGGATCACTTTTAAACATAAAACGTTACTTCGTGTACTTGGATGACTTCTAAAGTATCTTACACGGGTGACCTAACAAATCTTTCTCAACCGTGGAGCTTGCTCGAGTCGTGGAATACCACTAACAAAGGCAGAAGCAGTTGGACAACGAAAACAAGGACAAAGCAAATGTTTACGACTAAAGCGATACATGCATCCTATAGGCCAAATGGCGCACACACCGATCGTTTACAACGGTTTATATAACACGTGACGATTAATTAAAAAAAAAAATTTAAAAGACCTGCTGCACTGCGCCACACAAATATCATCGCCTCCATCCTACCTTAATTGCCCTGTCTGCACGAGTCGTAAAAATAACTACATAGTAATTTGAAAATGAAAGTGCTAAAAGAAAAGGATTAAATTTCATACCATTTACATCTCTGCCAATTTCCCCCTTGCCACCAGCTTGGATTAATCGCTTTGTCCTAGACGAACTCATCTCTGATGGCAATGAATGACGACGGATAAAACCATTTTTGTCATCTGACTCCGATACAATGGTGGGCGATACCTGTCCCCGCAATTTTGCCTTGGCAGATTCTGTTGTTGACATATAGCTGGGAAGCACAGGAGCATCTGATTTTGCCGAGAAGGAAGACCTCCTTTTGCTGGTTTTCTGGTTTTCATGGCAGAACTGTTCTTCCATCAAGCTTAGATCCCCGTTCACCACTAGGGTGCTGTCTTCGTTATCATCAATCAGCACATCAACCGGTCCAGCTGTAACAGGCACTAAAGCAGTTTCAGTATCAGCTTTTACATTGGGTGTTGGATTAATATTTTCCTCTGGTTTTTCGATGGACTCCTCAATTCCTTGGTCTAGGGTGTCAGATGAGCTGATATCCACCTTTTTCAAACGTGTATTTGATTTCTGAGTTTCAACCTCTGGTTGCTCAGATGCATCTTTCATCTTTCTCAAGTTGCGTTTTACCCTATCAACCTCATACTGTGGATGTCGCTGTACTGTTTCAGCAGGAGGATTAGGCACCTTTTTCAGGTTCCTTTTCGTTCTTTCAGGCTCATACTTGGCATTTGTTTGACCACCTCCTATGTTCGATGCAGGATTGGTTCGTACACTGCGCCTTGATTTGCCAGATTCAGTGCCCATATTACAGTTGTCCCGATTTGTCTGTCCTTTTGAATCAATAACCTTTTTTGACTTGGAAATTGGCTGCCAGAAACTGGTGGATGTCCATCTGTCTAACCAGCTGAAGACTGAATTGGGATCTCCTTTATCATACTGAATTTGCAGAGACTTTGCAAGGAGTGATGACGCAAGAAGCTAGGGAAGATGAAAGAAGCATAAGCACAGTCTTTGGCAAGTAAACTTCCCACAGAAAATTAAGAGGTCAGATGCTGCATATAATGTATGGGCATATACGCTGGCTACATGAATGTCTGATATCAAATGGTCCAACAAAAATTACCATTCTAAATATGCAACCAGTTATCTATTTCTTATATGATTATGTTCAAATAAATAGATTATAGTATTATTTAAATAATGGATGCTATTTTGCTAATCTGAAAACTTGCTTGAATTCACATGAATTCACAAGAAATAGGTAGAGTTCCAAGAGAAAATAGCAGTTGTAACACCAGTTGTAACACCCCCAAAAAAAAAACAGTAGTTGTAATAGTAAAGAGAATCCTAGCAATGTGCAGGCCTTATGAGACAACAGCAGTACATGCGGGCATTTTGCATATGAGACTGAACAGTCATGTGGTTGCGTATTCTACTTATAAGTGGCCAGCTGAGTATATGGGACTGCATATGCAGCCATACCAAATCATTGGGCAGTGGTCCTTACATAAAACAGTCGTGCACTTAGTAAATACGAGCAGTCATAATCATATATCCACGATTATTTTACAAGAACAAATATGTTTGGATGGGCTACAAAAACAAATATCAACGTGATAGAAAATTACTTTTAAAATGTTAGAATTGAACAAATTACCTTCGATACAAATGCATTTGATGAAAATTTCACTTTCCAAGCTTCCTGGGTCATAGGAACATAAGAAGAAGCTGAGCAAGCATCCTTAATTGACAGCAGATGAGAAATAAAGAAAATTTCATACAATCAGAAATGAGGACTCATGAAAATATGTATTAACTGTAGCTTCAGAATCTCATAAAAGGCTATCAAAAGAACACAGAAATATGGAATAGGTGAGATATCAAAAGGAGTAGATCTCGCATGTCTTCTTCGCACAGCCTTCCTCACCCCTTCTCTGCAATGTTCCCTGCTACATTTATAGGAGCAAGGGAAGGCCTGCGAGCGGAGAGGAATATGGTCTGACTGCTCCCCACCTTCCTCGTCAGTTCGTCATCCCCGTCCGTTACACTCGCGAGAGGAGTGATGGCCAACGGTTTCCACATCATTGCAGCTCCACACACGACCGTAGTGTGAAACGATCAAGGGAGGCAATGAGGACGTCAGCCACAGGAGACAGTGGACCAATATGGTCAGAATCCAACCATTATCAATTAATACAGGTTGATAACGATCAAGTTTAACGAAAGCAAAGGTGGACTATGCGACAAAGTTGCTCCTCAATGATCCAAAAAAGATAAATTCATTAACTCATGCTAAAAACCGATAATTACTATCCATTTATGACTCATTTGCACTTTACTCATTGAAATTGAATTGAATTTGCATTAAATTAGGATAAAAAGTGTTAAAGAAAATTTTCAGCAATTTTCTAGGCAATTTCCCAAAAATTGCTACATACTGATGTACCACCGACATTCGATATGCTGGTACCAACACATACCGGTCCGAGCTAGGACCGGCACGCCAATCGATAGGAGATGGCAAACCTTGATATAAACCTTGTTATGACATGGGTCTTATACGAATGATAGCCCAATAGATGAGCAAAAAGTAACCTATATAACATATATTATATAAGCACACAATTAAACCACAAGCAATCATTTAAAACTTGCATTCTTTGACCTAATCATTTCAGACGTTGTACTTTGAATTTATGCTGGAACTAGCAAACTTTGGATAATAATAACCCAAAATTTGGACAAGAAAGGACATATCAACCATATAAGTGATTATGTTTTCACTTATCAAAGAGTTTCGATATATAATATTAGTCCATTATGGATTACAGGAATTTCTTTTAAGAATAATAATTTTTAAAAATTATCACAGATCTAGGGTACATTCAGCTTAGAATCTGAGCTCTAACCAATACTTGATGGCAGATCCTGACGTGGAATTCAAATTATTCTTTTGAACAGGCCTATATCATTCTCTTTGGCCTATGATTTACATTTAACATTGATTCCTAATTACGAAACATTCTTGCACCTCCGAACATGATAAGCAAGTAGAAGAAACAATCAGGGAAGACTTTCAGACACAATTTAAGTTAGTCCTATAAAAAATTGACAGTTCATCACGATCTCTACCTTCCTAACCAGCATTTTGAGAATCGTAAATTCAGCACCTAATTACGGTTTAACACCTTAAGAAAATAAAGTAGATTTTCTATCCAAATAGACCAAGATAAACAAGGGTGTTTAGCTTTAAAGAGATATCAACATGACTAAATAAAAAGCCGACATATGTTTACGGAAAGGAATATCAATGGATATGACATTTACCACAGTCTTCGCATGACTGAACTCTGTAGTAACTTTAAGTCCAGTAAAGGTACATCTAACTCTTCTTCCGCGAGCTACTGCTTGTAACTTGACAATTCCCTCCATAGCATGGAGAGTTGCAACAGCTTGTCTTCTAACCAGATGCCCACGAATTAGAGCCTGCAACCTGATAATACCTTTTAATGCACGAAAGGCCCTGCGTGCCTGCACCAAATATATGCAACAATTATTAAGTCAGAAAGTAGGCAATTCATTTGCAGCAAAATCTGAATTACGGGATGTAAAAGCATTATGAATATGCCAGCTAACGTTCATTGGTAGTGTCAAGCAGCTTTTGTTGAATGAGTCACAGGCCATTCATCCAAAAGAAAGTATACACTTCTTGCATTTTGATTAAGATAAAATAGTTATAACAAAAAAGTTTACCAGATAACCACGGAAGGCTGCCTGTGCCTTTGTAGCAGCCTGCTCTTCCATGTCATTGCTAGTTTCTTTTGATGAGGTGGATCCTATGACTGCTTGACTTACATGTGAAGTGACCAGTGCAATACCACCTAATTTTGATTCCGAAGTTGAGATAAGTCCACTCACTGGTGCTGGTTCAGAAATCAGTGGAGAATTCACAGCCAATACAGGTTCTCCACAATTATACCCTCTATCAGTAGCAGCTTTCTGCAGATAACAAATGGAATCATTTAGGTTTCTATGCTCAGAATGTTAAATAGGAGGAGCTTGAAACACAATATAATTAACAAAGGAAACAATGAACTAAAAATTAATTACTCACTCTTTTCTGAGGATAACAGAGGGGGTAATCCACTGTTTAAAAAAATTATCCAAGCAAAATACTCAGGCACTTCTACACTATGAAGAAGAAAACAACCACTTGGCTAAGGCCTTCGCAAAAACTGAATGTTAATATGGATATCTAAAAAATGAACACTGTCAGCACCTATGTTTTTTTTATTTGAGCAATTCCTTGAGTAGTTGCCATAACTTTAACGTCACATCCCCATGATGCTGGCTACAATTCATGGTCAGAAAATTGTGTAAAATTAATAGATAATTTACATTTTGAACCCTAATGTTCAACGAAATAATAGTGTACACCCTCATGGATAATCACCCCCCATACCATGCAACTCTTGTAGGGTTTTGTTGCACCTTCCTATTAGAATCCAGAAGCTTTTACAACCCCTAAGGTAATATAACATGAGTTGTCAGTGAACAAAAATACCCTCGAAATGGAAAATAAAAAAAAAAAAATCCCTGTAATTAGTTATTTACCAAATAAAAACTGCTTGCTACATTCATCCATGACTGACTGTTAATAGGAGGGTGCAACTTACTACTGAATATGATTTACTAACGTAAAAGAGGAGAAAGAGTATAGGTTATATTAATTAAGAAAAAAGGAAACTGAAGGTGAAAGTTGGAAGGAAAAAAAGTGAGGCAATGAGGCTGAAAAAATGTACTATTGTGCAAAAAGGAGGCTATTTTGAGATTTTGTCACCACACTTTCAACAGAAATATTCAAACACTTAAGAGAATATCCAGGTAATATTCCCTTTTGATTAGCATATATCAACCACAAGATGTAAAAATGTAGCTGTATAGGAAAACATGTGGTGTAAGATGCAATTAATGATAAGGGAGGATGTAAACCATAATTTTGAAAACATATTAGGGTGACGATTTTTTTTTTCCTGATTTAATTAGTTTTGCATATTCATAAAGTCCTGGGAGGCCTATATCCATGCTTAGTCACAGAAGTTTCTATAAAACTACACAGCTAATATCAAGATTGATTGTCATGTTCCTTCAAAAATATAATGCATATCTCACATACCATGTTATCAGAGAAAATGTTTTAATCTGGTTTTGTCATGTGTATTTTATTTATTTCCTTAATTTTTGCACATATTTAGAACACAACTTGGAAAGGAAAATTACAGCTAGGCTGACTTCTGGTGTGTTTTGTATTGTTAACTATGAAGCGAGTGAGAAGTCTGAAGAATAACAAAAATTCAAAAATTCAAAAAATCAAAACAAATTCAAAAACTGAATTGTTGACCAGTTGAATATCCGCTATGGACATTGACATGGACATGAATATATCCCGAAATAAGGCATGTCATACATTCCATGCAAACAGTAAACAGCATAAACTTCTTTGATTATCTCACTAACCAGATGCTCTTTGGGCAGGCGCTGTGTTCTTGATCCTTCTTAATTAGCAAAAGAGTCGGAAAGAATTTTAGCAGAACAATGAAAACACTAACTGTTACAAGCTTTGAAGGTAAAAGTGTAAGAAGTACTGACAAGAAATTATAACTATTGATCTACAAGGCTCACACCTTCTAGATAGTATTTGATATTAACAATTAGCAACCAGAAAATAGAAGACTAGCATACAAAGTTCAAGACCTTGTATATGGATCTTAAACAGTAGACTTCCAAAATATGGAGATTATGTGTTAGGCATGATGGTATATCCATAAATTTGACAAAATGGTGTGACTGATCAGAAATGTGCTTCTGTTGCCTCTAACATTGACTATTGGAAAGGTCAAAATAAAAACAAGGTGCACATGTCAATATCTTTTGTCATTCAAAAAGTATAGTACAGTGGCAAAATCAATAATCAATCGTGTGAGAGGAATGAATCGCCAGTGGGCCATTGTGGTGTATGATCAGTGTGGTCAGCCTTTTTGTCGATGCAATGGTCAGAATTGACTGGTCCTGGTCCATTAATAAAGATTTAACAAAGAGTACCCAAGTTGCTGTAAGAGTATTGTATCATCAGTATAGGGTTCTATATGTTACTGCTTGATTTCTTCATATTCATGTTCGAGAGGTATAACTCGGCAGATAAGAGTCCACAAAAAAGAAATGCACAGTTTATACACAATATTGCCTTAGCATCTTATAGTGGAGAAGGATTTCGGTGATAACTACCCATGAATAGCATAGCACATTCTTTCTTTATTCTATTATACAATATTAGAGAGATCTTCAACATGCCATCCTCAAACATCCCCACGGAAAATAAACAAAGAAGGAACGCCCCATGCACAGTTAAGAATGCCGTTGAAGTAATAAAATGCATACCGAAGTACCCGTTCCCTTAGCATGTGATCTGGATTTCTTTCCAAAGAGAAGTGTCTTAATCCACCTTCCAGGAGATTTTCCCATCAGCGGAGGTCCAAGATCTCAAAACCACGCAGATACCCTGAAAGAAACCGGATCAGTACGCAGGGTTGGAGAAAATTGGTCTAGCAGCAGAACGATTAATACCAAAGAGAAACTGGTAAGTTTTAATTGCTAAAGCTCGGCGGCATGTGTTCAAGTAATAGGTACCAGAGCAAATTCCACATCAAAAAACAAGTAAGAAGAATTCACGAAACAAAAGCATTCACGAAACAGAAAAACCTCCAAGAACCGGAACATGAGTGGTCAGGTCGATCAAAAACCCAAGCAGATCTCAGTCCCCGCACTTAGACTAACCACAGTGCATCCGCTTACCCTTTGAGAATGCAAGGAAAAACCTAAGAGTCAAAGAACAAGCAAGCACAGAGGCCAATTCGAGGAGGAAACGCAACCCTAATCTTGATGTCAGCGGTCTGATACTCAACCTAGCAACCTAGAAGCCACTGCAAAAGGGAAATGAGATCAAGATTCAGCAAGAAAAAGAAATGCACAAGGAGCGCTGTCCACAAAGAAAGTGCGTGCGGATCGAAAGGGATCAAAGATACCGGCCAGATCTTGGAAAACTCACCGGAGAAATCTCCAGCGACGAGCGTATCACAGGCCTCAGCTCTCTTTCTAGTACGTCGATTCCCCCTCCTCCGCCTCTTTCATTCCTCCTCCCGTCAAGAGTGAAGAAGGATGAGAGGAAAGAGCGAGGCCACAAAGGAAAAGAGGAAGACAAACCGCAGACTGAGAAGATAATTAAGGACAGAACACTCTTTTTTGTTCCTCCTAAAGACACCAACAGAAATAATGAATCGAAAGAGGGAAAGGAAAGAGAGCAATAAAGAAACGAAAAGAAAAAGCACGCCACACACCTCCAAGCAGCTGCTTCTGCTCATTCAGGATTCGTCTTAACCGGGGCGATGTGTCGAGCCATTATTCGTTCGATTCGTGTGGGATCCATCGGAGGTGAAACATGCGAGCAGATTGGTGTTTGTCGAAAGACAGATGAACCCCAACTATCATTTTTGGACCTTGGAATTTCACTCATCCGACGTGGCGTAATATTCACCTTAGGTAGGTTGAACCCGCGGGGGACGGATTGTACAAAATACAAAAGAACAGAGAAATCTCTTTGACGGACGTGCGGCCACAGGTCAGCAGCGCGAAGTGAAGTGTCGTTTTCGCACGTTGCCATTCCGAAAGCCCGAACCAGCTAACAATAATAAATCTCATTAAGGTGGTGGTTGATGGAGGGAGTGGGAGGAAGAACCATGCATGCAGCCTGGCTATCGCACATCTTGCTTGGCCTACGTACCAAAACAAGGGCGGGGGCGGACTTGCAGGCTCAGCAGAGTCGCCTAGTTATAGACTCATTCGTAACTCCTCGGAACGGTGGCTCTCCGGCTCGGTTCCGATCATCCCTATTCCCTTGAGATTAAAAGACAACCACGTGTTGCGATCTCAATCCAAGAAGAAAACAACAAATCGATGCGTACGTTGATGGAACTCCTAATCTCCCAAGCGGGACTCTGATGTGAAGGATGGATGGATGACTTTGCAATCGATTTGAGATCCTAACAATAGGATGTGTCAGCATGACAGCAGCTTTAAGGGTGAGACTACAGAAGCATCTTAAACGTCAGCGTCACTCACTCGATTTAAGATTTTGTCAATAGGATGACAGCGGCTTTAGCGGTGGGATTACAGAAGCATCTTCGATGTCGGGGCCACTGTGTAGATGATCATAGAATGGTCGTGTAACTTTATGTTGGAGCAGGGCGACTCGACGTGTTTCGGTGGGTGGTCTTCTTCAATGCGGTGGGGAACAAATTGTCCAACCCCATACATAAATGTCCTCGTCATCCGCCTGCCTGCATGCATGCCTACCTAATCTCTGCAGGCAAAAAATACAAAGTAAAGAAAGGAGGTGGCATCCTCACCGTAACAGATGTAGTAAGCAAAACATAATCCAGACACCAACTACTGCTCCTACTACCACAGCAGAAGAAAGCCAAGTTTCTCATTCTTCCACTAGCGTGGTGCACTTAAGAACAAAGCAGGCGGCGACAGAGCATTAGCCAATTGAATGGGACGGGGCTGAGCCGCTCGACCGTTGCCATCACCAAACTGCCTCGCCTTGACATTTCAACTACTCTCCTCGTTCGAACGATCCCTCAGATCGTCCGCCTGTGAAAGTTCTCTTCGTGCCGACAAAGCCGTATCCATCTTAATTACCACCCGAAGGCAGCAGCAGCAGCAACAAAGAGCTCCACCGCCGGCCTTTCTGCTTGCGTTGGCGCCACCTGCACCACCGTCTCACATGGCCTCTGAAGGCTCTCCTCCTCCTAATTGCTTGTGTGCGCTGCCTCGTAATGCTGCTCCTATGCTCCCCCACGGGTGACTGCTGATAAATAGCACCTTTGACTGTAAAAAAGATATTGAGTGCTTATACTTTGGATAGCAATAGCAAATTTGACAAAAGAAAAGCGGAACAGGACTAGCAAGAATATGGGGCAAATTTATTTAGAAATTTTTATATTAATTTGTTTTGTTCAGATGTTTCTCCTCTATTGAAAAAAATTTTATTCATTTTTTATAAATCCTAATTTTAGTCTCCTATTCCAATTTTTTTTTAATTCTCTAAATCAATTCAATGAATCAGTTCAGATCAATGAACTGGTTCAAGTCAACCCCCCTCCTTTTTTCTTCAAGTCAACCCCCCTCCTCAATGAATCAGTAAAAGATAGCACATAGGGAAGAGAGAAGTGAAAAAAGAAAAGAGGGAAGAAGTGAAAAAAGGTCAAACTGAACCAGTTTGGTTTAATCCGTCATAACAAAACCACCCAATAAAACTGAAAGATCAAGAACATATTTATCCATATTATAAAAAAAAAGGTCCCTCGATAAATTCTCCATAGAGGAGCGACATCCGGTAAAACAAATTAGCTAAGGTTTTCCTGAGTAATTTTTTTTTAAATTTCTTCACTTGTAAACTTGTGTCTCAAGAATGATGAAGTATACAAGGCTATGTCAACTCATTTTAGTTTACATTGTACCAGCTTCGGAACTACTGGTCTCTGGACATTATGCAGACTACACATTACTTTTTTTCCCAATGCATTGAAATAATCTTGCTTCTTATTGACAAAGGCCACAAATTAATGAACATCCATAGCAGGTGTTGTTAGCTGGTCAGGATCATATCAAAAATAAACTTGTTTATGGTTCTCTAGGCCAGAGCCCGGCAGACCAAGTCTTAGCCAATCAGCTCTTCGTATGATTTTACAGGCTGGCCCAAAACAAGGACTAGTTATAGCTTAGCATCTTAACAACCCTAGGCAGTTTAGGTACAACTGAGCATCCCACCAGATCCATAGTCATATGTTCCACAACTTGTGTGATGCAGAATTGGTATTTAAATCTAAAACCAGATCAACATAAGCTCCCCTTCCCCCTCCCCCTCACCCTCCCCCCTGACAACAATTGCAAAAGAAACTTGTTACCGTGGAGCAGTAAATTAGTAATAGGTATATGCCAAAATGGCATATACATCTGTTCGCTCTTGCATAGAGAGACAGTAGAGATCAAATGATCAATACAGCAATGAAGTACCTTTAAATTGTTCTGTGATGTTTCACTTGGACTAGAAGATGGCTGGCCTAGTTCTGCAGTATCATCATCCACACCATCATGTATTTCTTTGGACAAAATCTTCTGAAACCTGAATCAGCAAGTTGCTCATTAGCAAATTATCTTAATGGTGTTAAGAAACATTTCTGAAGAACATAAAGGATGACAAAAGATGCAATGGAAGAGATAGTATCTAGATATATACATGAAAGCAATATGTGATGAGTGTGCTTCATCTAGTTCTTATCCTCTCAACAGAAGCGCACCAAGCCACATTTGTGATCAGAAATTAAAGATCTAGATATGAGTTTATGAATTAATTGACCGCTTGGTAATACAAAAAGATTTTGCTTTTAGAAACTAACCTTTGAACCTCAACCACTGCAGCACATTCTAGGCTAAAACTGATAAAGCTTTAAAATCATTCCTTCAAGTCTTTAATTTGTTGCCTAAATTTCTTATATATTTCCCACAAATAATTTATAACTCCCATTGATATAAAAATATCTTCATTTATAGATATTCATAACTACCGGTTCATGATGTTTTTAAATCAGTACTGAAGCTTCCAGCCAAAAATGATCCAAGGAATCTGTTATTTATCATGTTTGTTCTGTCTATATACTGCTGGAAGAGCATAATCCTTATGCTATCATTAAAGTCACAAAAAGAAACTCCTAATTTGTCAATATGATACAAGCAATGTGAATTGTATGATTTCACTATTATCTTTGTCTTTGTTTACCTCAGTCTAGCAAAACAACCAGTTATGCGTGATACTTGAATAAGATACGTCTTTTTTAATTATGCGCTTCATACTAATCAGCACAGACCTCAAAAAGTTAGAAAAACCAGTAAGCCGTGTAATCTTACAAGATAACTACTCGAGTACTTAATAACTCCTTTTGTGTGCCTGTCTTGGTAATACAAGATCTGTAGGCATAAAGGTATTCCTCAACCAAAATCCTCTTCCCTTATGTATACAAAGTCCATCCAACTTAACAAAGTAATAAATCTGTTGAGGAGGCATTAGAATGGTAGTACCACTACCACGAGAGCCTTTGTGATGTGTGTGTCTGCATAAACAAGGTGAAATGTGATTTCCCACAGCTGCTTGCTTGATGAAGCAGAGAGAGAGAGAGAGAGAGAGAGGGCCTCTGGACACCACACTATGCGAGCATAGACCTCATGTGCGCATGCCAGACGAAGGGTGTGGGGGTGTGCACTGGACCTCTGCAACTTGGCCTCTCATGTATTAGCAGTAGAAACAAGCTGCTCTCGCCACTCCTCTCCTCTCCTCTCCTCTCCTCTCTCTCCTGTATCACTAATCTCCCCAGATTGCATACATGTTGGATTCACTCTCTTAGTACAATTTCCCACATGTTGAAATGTTGCTAGCACAAAAAAACACTCCACTCTCGGATGTAATGAATTGAATTTTCTTTTATCGATCAATATCCAGAGCTAAAATGTTAACGGGAATTACACGATTAGATGTTTGTGTTTGGTATGAACAAGTTGCTTGGGACAAGCGCAACATAGGGTCTGCCTAATCACTCTTGTTATGGCAACAGTACCTACCCCAAGTGAGGCAACAGGCTCTATATGTAATTGCTTGAAGTCTAATATGGACAATCATAACATAATGCATGTATTTGCAAATTCATCTAATATGGACAATAATGACATAATGCATGTATTCTCAAATCCATCTAATATGGACAATTATAACATAATGCATGTATTCCCAATCAAATTGTTTCCTTTATTGCTTCAGTTAACATAATGTATTTCACTTTGGTGGTTGAAAGCGCAATTGTAGATTGTAGCCTAGCTTTCCAACTCATTGTCGTACCACCTATAGTGGAGACTTAGACGGTAATGGATATCCTTTTGTCGAGATCCCAACATAATCAGAATTAAAAAAATCTACAAGCGAGACATTAGTTCCCCTAAATAGTAAACAAGTCTTGAGTTCCCCATAGGTACCGAAAAACCCATTTAACAACACGATGACGATCTCCACGGAGAAAACCCAAAAAATTTGCTTTGATAACCAAATTTTGATCAATGTTGACCAAAGTTGACCATGGTCAACTTCTCTTACTCTCTTCTCCATAGTTGCTGCACTGAGAACAGTGACCAGCCAATGGTGGAGATCGGTGATCAGAGGTCTCGCCGGAGAAGCTTCGACATCGAAGACGAGAATCAATTGGCTGGAGTGGGAGATCTCTCATGTCTTCTTCACACTGCCTTCCACCCCTTCTTTGTGATGTTCCCTGCTACATTTATAGGAGCGAGGGAAGGATCGCGAGTGGAGAGGAAGATGGTCCGACGACTCCTCGTCAGTTCCTTGTCACCGTCCGCTACCCGCAAGAGGAATGATGGCCAATGGTTTCCACATTACCATAGCTCCACACACGATCATAGTGTGAAACAGTCGAGGGAGGCAGTGAGGACATCATTCATGGGCGGTGATGGATCGATACGGTCGAAATGCAACCATTAACGATTGATACAAGTTGATAATGATCATGTTTTGACTATATCGGTCGATACAAGGGGTGTACCGAGCGGCACACTCTTGCCTGGTATGTCTCGGGACTGGTCCACATACTATTTGTCTGACAGACTAATACATACCACCCATTCATACTGTATTGGGTGATACAACTTACCTTATTTTCGACAGATAATCTACTATCTCAACTCGTATCTTTGTAGATGATTCAAGATTAATGAAAGCAAAGGCAGACTGTATGACAAAGTTGCTCCTCAATGATCCAAAATAAATAAATTTGTTATCTCACCCTAAAAACCTATAATTACTATCCATTTACGACTCATTTGCACTTTACTCATTGAAATTGAATTGAATTTGCATTAAATTAGGATTAAAAGGATTAAAGGAATTTTTAGCCATTTTCTAGCAATTTTCCAAAAAGATTGTTACATACCGACGTACCACCAACATACAATATGCTAGAACCAACATGTACATACCGGTCCGATCTGGGACCACCATGCCAATCTATCACGGACTTAGCTGGTTTTGCCTAAGTCGTGCGGCACCCTCGCGCGTCCGTCCGCAAAGGTCAGCCTCCCCGAAGCCTCCCATTGTCCCTTAGGACCACCAAAAGAGAGAACGGGTTAAAGAGAACGCCTCAATCGGGATCCACAAGCAAACATCTCCGAAAAACACTTCATAGACAATGCAAATTACAAACAAACTTTACAAGTTCTGAACAGTTGCACAACAAAGGGTAAAATAGTCCATTACAGACCGAAAAGCTCTCGCACGTGTCCACATGACACAACCTTTATTTACAAGCCTAAAGAGGCCACCAACCTAACTCAAATGGGACTTTGAAGCCTTCGGCCGCCCCCTTACATGCTGTACAAGGCATGAATATGCCAAAAGACACGGACATACATAAGCATTACATCAAACACCCTGTTTCGAAGTTTGTCCGTGACATTCTCCCCCACTTATCCCTTCGACGTCCTCGTCGAAGCCTTTGTGAACACTGCAACTCTTCGCCTTTGCTGAGTCTTCAATCTTCTGCTCCAGCTGCAATGCGCCTTCTGGCTCCCAGCTGCTCTCCGTCGTTGTTTTTGAGTAGTCGAACCTTTGATCCGCCATGCTGCTCCAACTCACCAATGACTCTTGACTCTGATGTGGGGTTGGCTGAGTTGTGTTGATCCTTGTTGATTCCTGCGGATCTCCCAAATGAAGGAAAAGACCATCCTTGCTGCGCCAGTCTCTCAAAATTCCACATGCTGCTTGAACTGGGTGGATGCTTGTTGGAGCTTTAACGAGCATCATCTCACAAACTTCTGAAGTTTTGGGTCCTTCCTCCACAAAATCTGTCCATTGACTCTTCCTTCACTTAGTTGTCACATCCAAGTAGGTTCGCATCACTTCCGCTTTCGATTGGCATTTCGTTGGGAAATGAAGCGGACAATCTACTCTCAGTAGCACTGATCACCATTGGTGAGGATTTGACAACTATTGTCTTCAATTATCTTCGAAGGGTCTTTGAACTTGTGCAGAGCTTCTCTGCTGGATAGATAAGAGAAGTGGGGTACTCGGTTTCGCCCATTCTCTTAAGGGTTGAGAAGGCAAAGGTTACTTGACTTCGCCCGCCTCCTCGAGGTTGTACTTCATGCATCAAGCTGGTTACTAGACTTCGCCTGCTCTTTGCTCACACTTCTGAAGCACTTGAAGTGTTTGCACTCCTTGCGTTGAGTTAGTTACTGTGATTCACCTTCTCAATGCCGTTGAACTTCTGGAATGCAGGAAGTTTTCACCCTAACTTGGAGTAATTCTCTGATAGATGAGGTCGCCTCTGGGATTGTACTGTCTTCTCCATCAACCCTGCCGCCTCC